AAATTTAAGCTTACAGAACTTTTCTGGTTTTATCTGATATACAGTCAAGCTAAGTAAAAAACTATAGAGTTTTTAAAAACTTATTCTATATTATTATTTTCAAGCTATTACAGAGTTTTCTGGCTTTTCTAATAAACTAAGACTAGATTACTGGTATTGCATTAATATAGATATCTGTAATAATAAAATATTAAAAAAGAATCTTAAACTCAGTCTCAAGTCTCTGTTTTTTTAATAGTAATATATATTTATAAATCTTTAAGATTATCTTACAGCAGATCAGTGATGTTTGAGGAAATAATAAAACTATATAAATACTATATAAAAAAACTATTTTTTAGCTAATAATATATATTATAGTTACTCTAGCCTGGTCTTTAACAGTATATATCTATTTATAAAATATCAAGACTAACTAATCTGTCTGGCTGGATAGATTATATAAACAGTATATTATATTTAATTATATATTTTTAATAATTATTAAAAACTGATTACTATACAGCTGTCCTGCTAAATATTAAAGAATTTATATTATCTCAGTTAAATTAAAAAAGATATAAATAATAATTCTCTTTACTAGAGAATAAAGAAGAGCCAATTACTAAAATCTAAAATTATAAAATATTATATATTAAGATAATTAGCAGACTGTCAAGATTTATAAAAGTATCCTGTAAATAAAAAACTTTTTATTAGAATATATCAGCAAAAAGACTGGCTTATAATCAGTATTAACAGTAATAATTAATTCTGATTTAATAAAATGACATGAGTTTTGTCTGATATAATAAAAAAAAAAAAAATAAGAAAAAGTATTTTTTAAAAATAATTTATATATAGATAAGCTAGACTAGGCTGTAGAGTTTTATAGTAAACAAGTTTTCTTATTATAAAATAATATATCAAATAATCTGCTAGTAAAAAAATTAAAACTTATAACTGTTATAAAATTCCATTAACTGGAATCTCCAGAAAAATAATAAAAAAAGACTTTTTTCAGAAAATAATATCTAGTCTAGATTTTTATTAGCTGTGAGATAGAGAATACTTAGTAAAATATTATCTATAATATTATTAAACAAATTATTACTATTTATTATTAATAATTTTTAGTAGATTTGATTTAGAATAAACTCTTTAAGCTATAGATAATACGTGGAAAGAATTATAACTAAAATTATAAGATCTAAGATAATTATAAAGTCCGGAGAACCATATAAAATTAGTAGAATATATAAATTAAATATAACTGAGTAAAAAAGAGACTGTATTATTATCAAGTCTTTATCTGGATATAGATAAGCTTAAAAACAATATTCTATAAATTTATTAGACTAAGCTATAGAAAATATTATATATAAACCTGTAACTAGAATTAGCAGTAAATTATAAAATTATTTAATTATAATTATATTACTAAATCTATAGTTATAAAGCAGGAAATTAAAATAATCTATTCTATAATTATTTAAAAGAAATAGATCAATGCAGCAGGAAGCAATTTACTAAAGATTTATTCTAGTAAAAAAAACTTAGATTTTATTTTCATAATATTAAATATTAATTAAAATATTATTAGCATGGATATTCTTCTAAAGAATCTGTAATTATTTTTTATAGTATCTCTGGTATATTAGCTATAAGTAGATAAATAATATATTCTTAATATTATAATAAATAATTAGGCTGCAGATAAGTATTAAGAAAGTAAAATTAGTCATATTATTTTTTCTATACTATCCAGTAATAATAATAAAATAATGTATATCAGGGAGCTGGAAAAAAGAGAATAACTAATTATATAATAAAAATTATAATAGATAATAATTCTTATAGATTTTATTAAAGAAATCTATCTGTATTAATATATTCTACTATTAAACTAGTAATATAAATTTTAATCAGATCCATGGCCTATTTCTACTATTAATTTATATATTTATTAAAATACTTTATCTGATTAAGTATATCTCTATATCTATCTATTAAAAGATTTAATTATTAATTTAGCTAGATATTTAAACAGATCTTTAGATACTGCTTGCCAAGTATTTTTTATTTTAATCTTAATCTATTAGCACCAGGCAAGTAAGGCGGTAATTAATTAATTATTTATAAATATAAATAATATTACTAACTGATTTATTATTTATTATCTTCTGATAAATATTTTACAGTATTTAAAATTATTAAGTAGTTCTGCTGGTCCGAAATAAATATATTTTAATAATATATTAATTACTAATATAATTATTGTTTATCTTTCTTAATTATTTCTTTCTTTCTATATATCAAAGCTTAATTATCCTTTTTTTTTTATATTATATTTTCTACTCAGCTCAAGAAGCTGTAGCTCCCTGTCTTTAAAATCTATATTTTTTATTATAAATTTAATATATAATTAATTCTAGTAATTCTTCTTTTCTATAGCTTCTCTTTCTTATTCTATTAATATCATAACCTCATCTCTATTTTAGTTATTAAGTACTGGATAATTACGCCTGACTTTCCTGGCTTTAATTTTACTGAATTTAAAAAAGCTAAGACCAGAAATAGTATCTACTATATCTTTAATATTCTGGTTACTGTAGTCCTCGAATTTCTTAATATTTTATTTATTATTAAATTTTTTATATTTATTTTTAATTATAGTTCTTTTACAGGTCTGAGACTAGTTTTCAAGTATTTATATTTTATCCAGATAATTATTACCCAGAATAGAAATATATATAAAAACAGTCTAGATTAATTTTAGAACTAGATCTAAGAGCTTTAAAAAAATAATAATAATTCTAAAATTTAAGTTAAGCTAGCGACTAGTCTACTCAGTCTTAAGATAACTAAGTAATAATATAAGAAAGAAATAAAGAAACTTATTACTTTAAAAATATATATATTAAACTATGCTTTTCTCCAGCAGCCTGGAAATATAAAAATTTAGTTAGATCTATTCTAGAACTACTAGAATAATATAAAATTATATTCAGAATTTTATTAATATTTCCGGGAATCTCAAGTACCTCTTCTAGCTATTTAAAATAAATAAAATCAGATATTTATTCTCTCTAGAATAGAGGTTTTTAAGCTTGATTTATTTAAAATAAAAATATTTTTTCTTAATACTGGTCACTTTGCTGCTGAGACAGAGATAATAGAAATTAATATATTAATTCTAGATTTTTTAGTCCAGAATAATATTTAATAAATATAAAGTTCAATTAGTGGACTGCTTATTTATTTAAGATTATTTATATTTATTAATTATATAATATAAGACTTTTATGAGTCATTTAAAATGCAGTTTATAATTAAAAAATACCAGAAAAATTAGTAATTAAAGAAATATATAATCTTATTTTAATAATATAAAAGAATATAAATTCTAAATTTCTTTCCTGAATAATCTGAATAATATCTATTATATATTATATATTATAGACTTTCTAACAGCAGTATTAATATAGCTTGTAAATCTTTCCCTGACTATTACTTTACTATATAATATTAAGAACCTGAAGTTCTTACTATTCTTTAACTGGCTAATCTGCCTGAGTATACTAAATAATTTATTACTGATTATCTATTCTAAGAGAAAGTAAAAACTAACTAATTCTAAATAAATATTATTACAAGACTGGGATAGTATCTATATACTCTATAAACTAAATCTATTTAGGTCTATATTCCTATGGAATAGAGATATATTAAGAATAATTTTAAAAGATCTTAATTATTTTAGAAACTTATTAATAAGAATTACTAGTATTATTAATATTATCTAGTTAGATTATATAAGATTACTTCCCAAGTTAAATTAGAATTATATATATGTATTCCTGCGGATACAGAAAATAAAATATTATATTCTAACTGCTAATATATTAATATTTTATAGCTTGGGACTTTATTTACTTTAAACTTAATAAACTTATACAATAATTATCTGTTTTAAAAGTCTATCTTTTACTATGCGGCACTATCTATGAGATTTATACTGTAATATAAAAAAAAACAAGTATTAGAAAGAATTTTTTTAATATATTTATAAATTAATTTAAATTCCTTCCAGGTACAGCAGGACTAAGTATTTATTTATTATATTTTATAAGCCTATATAGTAAATCTATTTTATCTCCTGTTATTAACAGATATTATTCTCTCTTACCAGTCTAATAACCATTCCATTACCATTGCTGCTTAATATTATAATAAAATCAGACTACACTGACAAAGCTATTATTAATATTATTAAATCTAATTTAATAAATCTCAAGGGCCCCCAGAGTCACTTATATAAAAATAATAATTATTAAAGAAAGATTTAATACTAAAAATTACTATATTACCAGCAGCGGTCTACTAAATAATAAATCTAAAATTATAAAATATAACAATATTTCTAAGAGTACTAAGAGTAGGGGTGAGCCAGACTTATAAACTTATAAAAAAACTATAATAAATATATATATAAATATTAAATCTTCTAGATCAGACTGAGAGGCAATGTCTTATACTAGTAATTTTAGACTAAAGCTGAAAAATTACAGTGATAACAGCAACAGGTAATATATATAATAGTAGATAATATCTTGTCCAAGAACTCACTCAAAGATTTATCAAGTATTTAGCTGGTATTATTCCTATAATTATTTATATATAAGAACAAAGAAATAACACTTCTTTATAATTATATAGAATTTAGTATTAATCTTCAGGATCTCCGAGCTACAAAGCCCAAGTGCAAAGCAAACTACTGGAGATCACAGCAAAAGCAATGACTCCTAACTAGAAATAGAGATAGAATCTGTGGATCTGATTAGCTTCAGAGTGATGCATTGGAGCAGCAAATGCGCAATGACTAATTTTTATATGATCCAGATGATGTTCATGTAAGCGCTACAATACTCTACTATTTCAACTCCAGGTCCTTCATCTCAGCCTGTTTTGAACCCCTACTGACAATATATACACACCCCCACATTCTCAAATCTCCCGGAATGCCAACCGTTCCCTCTTTCCGCAAGATGAACCACAACCCAGATCTCTTGAAGAACCTCCCTGCCAATTTCTTAGCCGGCCACGACAAGCTCTCGCGCGAGCAAGCTGGACACCTACGGCATTTCCACAACCTCGCGACCCAAAGGGACGGCGAATGGGGGGTTATGGGGTCCCAAGACCCCGGACAGGAGTGGCTTGATGCCTACCGCTACCAGCTAGCCACAATGGCCTATGCAGCTGGGGCAGCGCACTTCCACCGCCTACCTGCTCTGCGGTCAATCTTCCAGTCTCTTATTAGTGGCCTTATCCATAAAATGCTTCGCAGAGAGGTCTGGGGATACTGGTTTCTAACAAGCCATAGTGGCAAGTTTGTAGACCCGGATATTAAAAAACTGAGACAACCATGGGCAGATCCTGTTCTTAAGGAGAATATCATGGTAGGTGATTTACTTTCCTTTAATCCTATTGGCCTCTTCTTCTTGGTGTCGTGAGACCGTTTTTACGTGCTTCTGTTTGCTTTGCTGTTGCCGCTGCTCACCTTCGCAATCCCCTGCTTAACTACCAGCAGTACTCCGGCCATCTTCTCCTCATGGTGTCGTTGTATACGATGCTTTTCAACGATGACAAATATAATCAGGAAGGGGCGCTCACCTTCAACTGGAGCCCAATATTCTGGGGCATGGGATCGGAGAAGTTTTCATATACCCGCGAATCTCTCCAAAAGGCCATCTTGGCGGAAATGGAGCGTGAGAAGTGGCTCGGTGTCTGCTGCGAGCCAAACTGCATTTTCATTGTTTGTAATCAGTTTCCGGTAAGTCCCAGTCCTAACAGATTGCAATAATATCCGTCCCAAACAAAGAGACTGCTAATGTACCCATAGATCATTGCTATGAGATACAATGATGTTCGGGACGGCACAAATGTTGCAACCGAGGTACTCAGTAAGTACACAGCTGCTTGGGAAGCAAAAGGCATGGCGGACCCAAATGGGCTGTTCATCAGCTGGTACTCGCCAAAACAGGATACGAAGATGCCAGCGCTTGATCTTGGGTTCACAGCTTGGTCAGTTACTCTATCATGAACTTGGAATTTCATCATATCACCGTACAGGAAGGAGGGAACAATAGGCAAAGTGTCCCACTTAGGAGCTAACTTTCTGTTCTTCGAATTTATCAGGGCCACTGCATTCATGAACGCCTGGAACCCAATCCTTGCAAATGAGACATTTCAAGCGCAATCTATAGGCTTCCTTACTAGAGTCGACCATGACCGAATCAGCATTAACAGAGGGCCAGTGGCATTCGCCATCCGTGAGCTCGCTGACAAGAAAGGAGTCGATCCATATTCCCTCTCAACCATGGAAAAGGCACGATTTATTGTGGCAAACAACCCTACTACGGCAGAGCATCGAGAACCTTTTCCTCGACCAATGTTTGGATACATCCTCATGGCCATGTCCGAAATGGGTGATGAATCAAAACTTGCAGGTTTACTCAATCATGTTGATCGATTCTTCCAGCCAACTTGGCGAAATGGGGGTCTCTACTACCCTGTTAATGCGGAACAGCATGACAAAGACGGAAATTGGACAGAGGTTGAACCATTTACGGGAAACGGCGCTGTTGGCTATGCGCGGTTGACAGTTCTCGATGGTCAACGGAAGATGTGGGAGGAGCCTTGGTCTGCAGAGCAGGTTTCTCGGGCGCCGCACATCAGTGGCATTGATCTAGGCAGTGGGGGGGATTTCCTGAGAGGCTGCTGGGATGAATCGCATCAGGCGATGGTGGTGACAATGCGGACGTGGGATCAGTCGGAAAAGTTGTGAGTGTGCACCCCCACCGCCTCCTGCAGTGATTCTATAGATTGGCCCCTTCAGTACATTTCTCACGACCCTACTATTGCTGACTTCCAGTTACCATCATAGCGTCCGACTTGAGAATCATAACCTTCCTGTGGGGGCATATGGGATCTATCGCAACGGGGTTCTGACGGAGACAAAATTTGTCGATTGGCCGGGAGATACGCTTGAAGTATATGTCCGAGTCGAAGGGGTTGATTTTGACCTTGTTCTGCTGAAGGCTTAAGCATATAACCAAGTACGAGGTTAGATGAAGAATGTGTTGGACGATATTCGTCAGCAGCTAGCATTGATAGGGCACGGCAATATCGACTTTCTTACTCGCCACTCATGGTCGGGTATTTCGAAGAGATGGAGATTACTATACAACCGGGTCGCAGCACCGATCCCTCACAGAAGCGTACAAAACATTGAGCGTAGCGCTAGCATTGCTGACTGCGGCTGAACCATAGATGCCTTCCAGAAGCCTGGTGGTAAAAATGCTGATTAAGTTCCTTCTTGTGTCGCTTCCTATACTGATGACAGTAAGTCATCGGGGGGGGATCTCACGCAGATACACCGCCCACTGCGTAAACCGCAGCCATGGGTTGGCATCTACGATAGAATCAGTCTGAATCAGCTGGTTCGCCTGCACCTGCTCCGCCGCCTCCCACGCCTGAATAACCTGATCTACCGCCTGCTGCGCCTGATCGGGCGGGGGTGGGGGGGACTGTCGGCCGTTAGAATACCAGATCTGGATATAATGGGATCCGCGGCCACTGGGAAACACTTACTGCCACGAGACCGTCTGATACAATTACTGGAGTTCCGCCTCACTACGAGCCCGTTCCCCGAGCGGTAGTAGGCCACGGCGGGTCTATTACAGCCATTAATAAATCTGACACCAATACTTCCGTAGAGAATCAAGATTCAATACAATAAAACAGCATGGTCCGGTGTTATGTTAGCAGAGTAAGCTATTTAAATAACATAGCAGAATGAGCAGTGGGTTATTTAAGATTATCAGAATCTAGATAACAGAATTATCCTGCTCAATCTAGAGCCACTGCTGAATAGTCTGGACGATGGCGACGACAACACTATGCAGTAGTTGATGCTGCTTTATTAGATAATTCTCTAGTTCAAACAGTCGGACGCCATACTGGCAGTAATGGCAGATGAGTACTTTGAATCTCAGAAGGACAGAGAATAGCTCATTTTTCATTCTGAACAGTAATAGTAGGTGAGAAGAAGAAACAATTTGGTATAGGAAACTGCTATACCCCCTAAAAAAATATATATAAATAGACGTTCTACCCGGCACACATAGATCAGATCTGACGGGCGGCACCCCACCAAAATCAGCCCTGACTACCCGCCAACTTTACACCACCACTACACAATATATAGTTGAGATAATGCGTTAAAGCAATACACAGTTAGAGTTAAATATCCAATCTACTAACTGGAAAATTTAGAAATTCGTAGCTGCGCTGTAGCGGACAAAAGATAGAATCAAAGTGAAACCGACCAAGCCAGTAGACATTATCCGCCTAGACTTAGAAACCCAACCACGTCCAAGACATACCAAAAGAACCCTAGTATATATTGGGCTTTAGAACCAAGACTTGTTCCGTATCTCACTGAGGTAGCCAGTTATTAAGAGTCACCTTCCATTCAATTGACTAATGAAGGCAGCTCGGGGATTGACCGTTGCTTGTTTGTCCGTTTCCTGGTTCATTCTCTTAAAGTAAACCTGTCTGGTTCGGCGGATGTTAGGACGGGAACGTCCCTCAATAGATGGTCTGATAACAAGCTAAACACAGATAGCGAATTCTTATGACTGAAATCACCGGGGATGGCGGCATGCGACGGGGTTCCTTCCCGTGGACTGAGGTATTAAGACTGAGAATTATAGTATACTACACGGGCTGAATATCATTTCCTCAAGACAACAAATGCCAGCAACAAGCCTAAATTAATACCATGCATGTTAGCCTGCAAAAGCACCAGGATCTAGTCGAATAATTGATCAAGAAATGCTCCAGCTCACAAGCTCAATAGGGAGATGACTAAAGTTATAAGCGTCGTGACTACGACAAGATGATGTAAATAGAATACTGCAGTCTTGGTCAAGCGAAATAAGCAATGTAACCACTCCTAGTATGGTAAGATACTCAAAAGCCGTATCTTATGTCAGCAGCCCACCACCCCTTCGGGCGTAGGCGGAGAATGAAGAGAATCAAGCTGTCGAATCCAACGAATTAGCGCTTGTTCTTGTATATCGTCAAGTGCTTTTATTGAAGTAGGACGTTCAGAACGAGTTGCTCGTCCATTAATGCGTGCCCGGAGCCGATGATAAGGAACGTCGAATTCACGCGACAACGCACTGATATTCGGATTTTCGACGCGTTTAGCGGCTTCGCAGGCCTTCAAGATGCGATACTCGATCTCAGAATAGGAATTCATGATGGTGGTGGTAGGTAGTGAGTCAAATTGCTTCAAAATTTTGCGTTGAGATGAAAATTTGCGTGGAGGTGAAGCAGACCAACACCCGAAGAGGTGGTGGGCTGCTGACATAAGAGACAGCTGTACAGGTCATGTGTATGGGACAGGGCTTACAGCTCGGTGTAGTCTGAAATAAACTCCGCGTGGTCTAGTACTAAATATAGAATAATACTTTTCTATTTTAACTATATTTAGGGTCTATTAGGGTTTTATTATTAGGGTTTAGGGTTTTATTAGGGTTTTAGGGTTTATTAGGGTTTAGGGTTTTAGGGTTTTAGGGTTTATTAGGGTTTTAGGGTTTTTAGGGTTTAGGGTTTTAGGGTTT